CAATACCTCCATTTTTCATGGAAGGTAAAAACAACTATTTTAAAATATTACACATATACTACAATGTTAGAAGAGCACAATTCAACAAAAATGGATTGCTTTCAAGATACATCTATATTTGTCGCCTTGCCTTGCCTTGAAAAGACAAGAGTTCCGAGATCTCATACCTCCATGAAATATGGGCTTGATATGTAAATGTGAATTTCTTCTTTAATTACGCAAATGACCTCTGCATTAACATAATATATGCATCGTGATGTTAACTTTTGATTAACTTAAAGATGTCCCAAGTATGACATTCCCATCATTCACCATTGAGAAATCATAGATTTTTTGCATTAATTATGCAAATTAGGTGATCATTTGCATAATTAGTATCTGTTGATGTTCCATCTGCCATAGGTTACATGCATTACATGTATGAAAGTTCTATAATGTAAAACACTGTAATTATAGAATTTCCTCATTAATCATGCAAATAAAGTCCTCATTTGCATAATTTGCAGTTAATTATGTACATCTCTCTGTCAGATACCTACACACCAAAAATGATGAAAATACGCTGTTCCTATCTGGACTTATTGGCTTTCAAAGATTTCGCCCGAAAGTCCCCTGCAGTTTCTGAACAAGCTGCTAGGGGGACCAAACCCACACCACTTATTCCTGACAGGAAAAGCTATCTGTCACCAAAAATTCAAGACCATAGCATGTTCAGGACCAAAGATACAAAAACCGGAAGTTCTGCTGCAGTACCAAGGTCATCCACAAGGAGGCCCATATTTGACCTTGACCTTTGTCTTCCTAAGACTTATCAGCATACCAAATATCATCACAATCCATAAAGGCATTATGAAGTTATGCTGACTACAAAGTTGCGGAAACACACACAGACACACAGACACACACACAGACACACACACAGACACACACACAGACGCCGCCAAAAACAATACCTCCATTTTTCATGGAGGTAAAAATGATGTAAGAAATATGTAACAGCCATCGAGGACCCCTTTAATAGGGATTAACCCAATTCTTCAGAATTCTGGAACAGCAGCCAGAATTCTGCAGAATTTAATTCTGTGTTGAATTCTGCAGAGTTGGATTAATCCCCAAGGGGTCCTAAGTACTTATCTCTTACATTATTTTTAGGTATAGTTTACAATATCAGCCCATCTAGATATAAGGTTGCTGGGATATGGAAATAGTCTGGAATTCTGGAATTAAACTGGAAGCTGTTCCAATTACATTCACCTCCACCTCACCCAACCAATCAACCACATATAGAAAAATGCCCTTCCCTAGACTTACTTTTATTGTAAGGCCACACCAATTTGATTTGCTGGTTCTCTGATTTTTTTCAGAAAATATAAAGTGACAGGTCGAAATAAAAATTAAAACACAGTCAGGCATTCTATGATAGGACTCACAGGAGCCTTGAAATCTACATACCAGCTGGTTTGTAATTCAACCTAGAGGTCGGAGATCACATGCCTTCGTCGGAGGGACAATGTTTTAGATAAAGGAACATGTGTATTCTTTACTTTTCTTGAATATTTAGTTTAGAGTACAAAAGAATCTTTGTACACCTTTTTTTTAATTCTACGGAACACTTCGCCACAGATTTACAAACGCTCCGTCACCCGTGTTATTCGAGTTTGGACTGTTACTGGGGAAAAAAACTGTTATAACAAATTCTGTTTACTGTATTATGATCAAAGTGTCACAACAGTGTCGCAAAATGTAATAAGAAGATGTGATGAAAGAATCAGAACAGGACAACTACTGCTGTTTAGAAGAGATTTATTGCTGTTTTTATGACAAATAAAAGACTTATTTGTTGTTACAATATGTTACAATATAAATCATGAACATCCATTTAAATATACTTGAGTTATCCTGCTAACAAGCAAGAAACAAAAAAGGTCCACTGCAGTGACGTAGGGACCCCCCATGAAGCCCATTTTTGCACTTGACATTGGTCTCCCCAACGGTAACCTGCCTGAACATCAATCTATGCCTTGAAGAGTTATGCCACTAAATCCACAGTCTCCTACACTAAAGCAGACTGATTTTATGGATGGGAAAACTGTAACAACCCTGAAGAGAAGGGACTTTGTTCAACTGTTCTGGCCAAAACATGAGCATTTTAGAGTTGAGGCAGAGTCTGAAATTTTTTTTTTTTTGGCAAATCGGAAAAAATAAGAAGCAGGCAAATCCGAGAACCAAATAAATGAAATTGGTGTGGCTTGAATGCTTTTTCTCAAGCCATGGGAAATATCTTGTAAGGGTGTTTTAAAAAACCAAACTTTTAATGAATTTTTTAGTGAATTTTTCCCTTACATTTCTTAGCACTTCAGTTCCTACACCTGTCCATCATCTGGCACAAAGGTAGCACTAGTTTGTGATACAATCATAGACAAAAATTAATGTTCTGTCGGGACATTTGAACAGGGGAAATATAAAGCTGGAAATCTGATAATCTAATATATAGTATTACAATATGTACTTGCCCTAAGATGGGGAACCAGATGTCAAAATGTATTGTACATGTAGTTTTTGTTGAAGCCATCTTCATGTATGAACGTTTCTGTCCATTATTATGAAACTCACAGATACTATTTTGAAAGTAATACATGTATATGCTACAAATAGTTTTCTTTTATTTCATTGCGATTTGTTGTTGAAGGGTTTATGATATATAACTTGAGCAATATGATATTTTTCTATGACTGCAGATGCAGAACATAGTGGATGATGATGATGATATTTTTATCCTGTGCATTCACTTTTATATTTTTTATAGACATGCCAACCCAGGGCTGTACTTGTAATAAATGTATTAGTCAATGTCAAAAGTGGAATAATCTTATAGTGGAGAGTGATTTAATTGATTGTATATTATTAGTACCCTTGCACTATATCTTTTCTCCAGTATTTTTCTGAAACTGCCCATACAAAACATTGTTCTATTCTGTAAAATTGTGTTAACGTTAACGTGATGAAGTTTGTTTGTTTGTTTGTTTGCGCCTTTATTTATTGATGAAAATACACAATTCGGCCAACAGGCCGCTTTTCATTGTGGTCATCATGCAGGGTGTTTTTTTAAGGCATGTCTGTTATGTAATATGATCCAAGAAGAGGTTATAAAGAATCAAGATCAACATGCTCATTGTAGAACAATAAATGACATTTAGTGGTTGGTGCATTGGTCAGCTTTTGCTCGTTTTGCATATATTTGCCCAAACTCTTCTGTCAATTATGTTTTATCTATCTTTACATGAGCATATGCCTTCCTGTACAATTTGTGTGTTCAGATAATATATCAGATTATTTTACTACAGGATTGCAACCTATGAGCTCCCCAAGTCGATCCAACAGTAGTGCCAGCCTTAGCAGCATGGGCAGTCTGGAAGGTCTGGAGAAGAGCCCTGCAGTTGTTGACAAGCTGGACAGGTCCATGAAAAGGGTCTCCTCCAGCAGCAGTGTGTCCTCCCTTGGATTTGCATATAATAATGTGTATGCCACAGTATGGAGGACTCTGGTCCAAATTGTACAGGAGCCACACTCAGAAGTGTCGGAGGCAGCTCATGTCGTGGTTAATGCAATCAACTTAAAGGTTAGTCAGATAGCTGCAGAATGTGCTGAATCAATGTACTGTATTGAATATTCTCTTTCTTTGACAGTGTACTATTTTACAGTAAGCTTATTGCCTTTGTCCAGAAGGTTATGTTCACCATACATGTATATGGGGGTTTCAATTTTTAACAGTTATAACTCTGTGTGTGGTTCATGTATCTTCATCAATGTAGGTTGGGATTTGTTTGAGACAACAAAGGTCGAGGTCAATTATGGGCAATATAGTGGCTTTGTACGGTGCTGTAGCCGTGTATATTCACATGGGTGTGATATCTCCATTAAAGATTGGTTTGTATATTCACATGATATCTCCATTAAAGATTGGTTTGTATATTCACATGGGTGTGATATCTCCATTAAAGACTGGTTTGAGCATGGGTGTGATATCTCCATTAAAGATTGGTTTGAGCTAAACGGTGCACACCCCAGTTCTTCCGCGACAGGGGTCCGCGATAGTCCGTTGTAAAAAAGTGACGAAAGGGTTTTGAGGGTCCAAGTTTGAGGTGACATTTCTTATAAACTGCCACGAAGTATCATTAAACATCAACATGGCTGAAGAGTGTAAGAAATGGTGATTTTGGGGTGAAAATTTCTTTTGGCTCCGAACCTTACTTCCGGATATCCTTGCGCGCCAAGTGTAATCCGCCCGTTTGACCTAGTTTTCGCTCTGTGGCTTCGTAGGGGTGGATTTGCAACCCCTCGCGCCGTGGACTGTTTAGAAAATTACAGTACTAGAATTTTCTTTATAATTTACTCGGGTATAGTCAAGGCTTGGGTCTTTCTGCCAGCATCAGTCATTTCTGCCGGAAAATTTTTTTTTTAGGATTATCCTACGCGAAAATTCGCAATTTTGGGCATTAATTTTGGAGTGAAAATAATGTTTTTTCCGTTGATTTTACCAAACTTAAAAAGGTTGAAGAAACCAAACTCATCTTGTCTTGTAGCTGAAGAGATATCCTTTCGTCCCATATGCAGTTATTCTCCTTCCAAATTATTCCACGCCAGAGACAGTCGCTAGATTTGAGGGTGTGCAGCTTCGAATAGAGGCCCCAAATAAACTGGGATGTGCCCCCTAAAACATACAGGCATACAGGAATACATCTAAATTGTATAGCACATGGCAGATTACTGTACAACTATAGAAAAACACAACTAATGACGAAGGTATAAGATTTTTGACCTCTACTTTCATTTCCATCCCAACTTACTAATGCATAGAGGACCTACATACATGTATAGAGGACCTACATACATGTAGGTCCTCTATCTTTGAGGTTGAGACTTGAGCAGCATGTGACTGTACCACAGGTCTTTCACAATTGAAACATTCATGTACATGAACATGTAGGCAGTGACATCATCCCAACTTGCTAGTTTGTACATTACGATTTGTTAACATCTACCAGGTACATAATGTTATGTGCATAAGATAATTCTGCACTTATCTTTCCACAGGCCACCATGAACACCCAACCTAAGTTCATGAGAGACAATAGACTGACTCATTCAGCACCATCCAGCCCAACGAACAGCCTAGCCAGACTGCCAACTGATAAGGTGGACAGGGACAGGTGAGGCACAACCTGACAGTCATATACATTTGTAGTTCCAGAACAAGCTGCTAGGGGTCCAAGCTAATGCCACTTTTTCCCTAGCCCAAGAACTACATGTATATATACCACCCAAAATTCGTGACCCTTCCTTGTAGCATGACTAGATGATGAGATATTAAAACTGGAAGTTCTGCTGCAGTGCCTAGGAAAGCTGCCAGGTGGCCCAAAATCTAGGTCTCATTTCTAGGTCTCATGAAGACCTGCCCACCTACCAAGTTTTATTACAATGATCCATCTAAAGCTTCTTTGTGCTAAACCACATACACACACACACACACACAGCCACACAGCCACGCACAAACAAACGCTACTGAAAAAATAACCTTCTTGGCAAAGAACCTTTTTGGTAATTATATTCAGTTGTTCATATTCTCTACCCATAATGATGCCTGTAAGTGTTCATCATAACACTCGTTCTCATTCAAATGTACAAAATTCTGTAGCCACTCTTTACGACTAGGTATGACCAAATCACGGACATCATCGTTGCTTTCTGCACTTCTCCGCTACACTTACTATGTTTCAGGAAAAATGTACCACAAAACTAGGTTTGATTGATGACTTGAGAGAAATTATGGTCGCCTGTCGGATTTCTCCCCCTAAAAAGCGGCTGTCGCCTGAGAAGAAATAGAAACTTTAAAAAGCAACCTAAAACGTAGCAATTCGATTACGGTTGTAGTTTTCTGCTTGGTGAAGTCGGATGGCCAGGCCCTCTGACTGATCAAGTCAGATCGCTCCTCTCACTATTCCTGTACGTCGTGCGAGGTGTTTCATACCTGTCGCCAAGTTCTGTAACATCCGCTCAAGTAAGACGGTCGTGCAATTTAGATAGAGTCACATATAAGACAAGAAATTGCCATTTTGATGACTTTTAGCAAGTTTTCTGGGTTTCTAAGAGAAGAAGAAAAGAATGTGTGCTGTCATTTGTAGCCACCTTCACAGAACAAATTGTTTTACAGTAATGAATGTAACATCCGTTACTGTTGTTTTTATTTCCAATTTTAGTTTCTTCACCTGGTATATAAAAAGTTACCCAGTTTTTAAATGTCCTTACTTATGCCCCCTTGCTCACAAAGGATGAAGATAAAAATTGCAGATATTCTTGGAGAAATAAACAAAAACGTCCGTTTTGTAACATCCGTTACCGGTAACGGAAGTTACACCTGTAGCGCAAAAAATGCATTGAATCCATGACAAACTCTACAAATACCCTTTAAACTATCCCATAATTCATCGTGCTACCCCATTGGTGTCTACATGTATGTATTGACCAAGAAAGCTATGTTCCTTCAGACCTATTTTTTGGGGCCGGGTGATGAGAAAAAAATGTTTTGTTTTGTGTTCTTTGATATCCTATTAACAATTGGCCTTCTTGGCATCCTCATTTATACCAAAAATATAGACATTAAAAAATTGGCGCAATCTAATTATATTTTCAATTAGCAATGTGATCTAATTATTTGTTCAATAAAGATAAACATAGAAGTGGGGAAAATCAAATCACACAGAATGAAGCTGGTTGTAGCTCCCTACATTAGACATCATGATCTTATAGCATCCAAGCTGGAGGTCGAGCAAAGTAAAGTAAGTAAGTTTTCAATAATTGACTTATCGGTGTGCTTAATATCTTTTATAGTTTTTGTCAAAAATGTTTATTTGTTTATTAAAAATTTCCACCAGATACATGGAAGCTAGGGGAGGGAGAACAGGTGAAGCACCTTTTCCAGCTCCCTCCCCAAATTACATCAATAAAGAAAACATTCATTAATTTGAAAAACTAGAAAGGCTGACATTTGCCATTCGCTAGCTGTACAACAGATGGTAACGGGGGGTGCCCTAATTCCGACCCATCCCTAATACCGAACTAGTTTGAAAAATCCTTGTTGCGGCGTTATGCATGGGAGCACGTACCTAAAAATTACCACAAGGATGGACAATGTTTTTGTGTTGATATCGGTAATCTCACAAAGTTTGTTTTAGTTTGTACACTCCGGCAACAGACGAGTAAAAAATCTGTGTGAATTCGACGCTTGTTCGGGGGTTGATGAGCGTGTCAAAAATGCAGGTTTTGCTTTTCAAACAGCCATTTTGGAGCAAGTCACGTAATTGTAAAAAGAGGACTTGTTTGGGACAGAAAAACAGTTGTAGATTGTTTTAGTCATAATTTGTTTATTATAATTTCTAAACTCTCTTCTCAGATCGACCTGTGTTAGACACTAGGTCGGAATTAGGGCACCCCTGTTGCGATAGAACGTTCCACCGGCAAAATGACAAAAAAACTGCCGTGCGTTTCACGAACCATTATGCTTGGGTGCAAGGCGCTACACTCAAGTGAAATACACAGCTGTGCAGCTTTAATCGTTGTGATCTTTATCTGTCAATATTATATCTCATGTTGCGCGGGGTTCTGGTCAGATAAACTATTACCAAAGGTATATGCGTTTGCATGGAACATAGGTCGGAATTAGGGCACCCCCCGTTAAGGTTCGAGATTTAGATTTTGCACAAACAAAGGACCAGAAATGCTTTGGAACTTTATGAAGGGAAGATGCTAAACTGTCCAAATAGCTGGCATACTTGAGAGACAGATCATTTTTTAGTTTATTACGGAGCGTTCAATATTTTGACCAGTATGATGGAGAGCCAGTCCTTTTAGCCTTGCGCCATGCAGTCTGCTTGCGATTCTGGATGTCACAAACCTTCAAGTTGCTGTCTATCTGGATCGCAGTCTGACTGGATCGCAGAAGACAAGGATCCCCATGCAGAGTCAGTGTCATGACACTGGTTCACACCCTCAGTTAGGTGACTGTTGGCCAGATAAGCACCAAGACCCTCCCAGTTGGCGCGTCAGTAGTTGTACACCTTGCGCAAAAGACCGTTTTTAGAATGCAGTTTGCATTGAATCCCAAATTCCAAGATCGTATGGTCCGTGTCAAATTCAGCTGGAAGGTCCTTGATGTCTGTCATCCTTTCGGGGAGACTAAATCCAAAATGTTATTGCTGGAGTTTGAATTAAGTGGTTGTGTTGTGCTGAAGAAGGAAATGATCCCTTGCCATTTTCCACAATGGTGCAGCTGGTCCAGTCGACCCGACGGAGATTAAAGTCACCCAGTAGACATCACATCCGGTACTCACCAGTGTACATTCTCTAAGACTTAAGCCTAGTTAACAGTGAATGAAGACAAATCCCTGGAAGCAGGTCTATAGCAGAGCAAGTGCGGGAATAGCTACGTAGCTTGCCCAAGCCGGGAGGCTGGATTTTACAGACGAGAATTTCATTTTGACTTGACGTGTTGAAGCATTGCATAATCCAAAGTTCCCGGATGTATCAATTGTGGTTCACCATGGGGGAAAATAATATAGATATCACTTAACGAACATGCATCACGCAAGTCGCACAAGCCAAATTCTGTAAAAAGTCGGCTAGTTATGTATTCATTGAATCATAATCTATTGGAAAATAGTACTCCCTTCTGGACTTTAGTACTCCATTGAGTTGGTGGCAAATCCTATTCAGGTGTAGAGTTGGTAGATTGAAGCAGGCTACTTGTATTCTATGACGTTTCAACTGCCTTTCCTGTGACTTGGGCAGCAACACAGAGTCTCCAGATGGTGCCCAGCTGCAGCTTCCCCACGAGATCGCTAGACCTATGGCCATCAGACCGGGTGAACAGCCCCCGCCTTCTCGCCCACCCAACCCTGCTCCTATTGGTTCAGCAATTCCACATTCAAGCAACTTCCAGAGTAAAAGAAGGCTGTTTGACAAGGGACCAAATTCGGTAAGGAATTTGTATGAATTGTTCCTATTTTATTGCTGGTAATATGTAGCCTGGGTGCCATCCAAATTTGTAACGGCTCCCCGTAGCCTGGGTGCCATCCGAATTTGTAACGGCTCCCCCGATTTTTTCGGGGGAGCCGTTACAAATTCGGATGGCACCCAGGCTAGGTAATATGCACACATGATTTGCATCTGTTATCGTGTGCGCTTGTACAGGGTGTAAAACTGGGAAGAATGTTCTAGAGTTGCCTACACCAAATGACTGAGTCACAACTTCTATAAGAAGATTTGAACACCTTTGATGAATGGCAAAGAAAATGGCTACATTTTTTTATTTTTATTTTTTTAATATTCCGAAACATGCAATCACAAGACGTGATGACGGCACACTCAAGTTTTTTCAACTTATATTAATGCCGCCACCAACACAGGGACAGAACAATACTCATTTACACCTGAGCGAAGTGAGGAAAGTCGTGTAAAGTGCCTTTCCCAAGGGCACAAGATCGGTGGCATGTCAGGACTCGAACCCGGGGCCTCTGGTTCCGAGTCGAGAACGCTGCCGCTGCGCCACACGACCCCACGTCTACATTTTGCACATGAAACAAACAAACAAACTCCAGATGTAACTATCTACCTATTTGTGGTCTTTTGCAACAATAACAAAAACCCATACATACATGTACATGTACATGTATGTTTCAACTTAACAATATTTAACTTAACTTAACTTAACGATCTGTTGGCTTTATAGAACAGAAAGTAGTCACAGAAAGTAATAGCAGTTGGTGCACAAGTCATTGGGATGATAACTTTTAAGTTAACTTTTAAGCATTAAAGTGCTGAATGTGAAACAAGGACATTATTTGCATAATCAATGAGGAATTTTTTCAGACATACGATGATGATGATGATGTGCCCTCTCCTCCAACTGCATTGATCACAACAGAATTCTGTGAATGGAGCAGTCGATATTTTGCACAGTCAGTAATGAAGGTGGGTGTTCAATATTTATTGGCACATATTAGGCCACACCAAGTAAATTTTATGGATGACGTCCACGCGCGCATTGATTTTGGCCTGTTCCTTGAAAAAAAAACAAGAAATTCCGCTTCCTGTAACTATGACCAAAGAGTCACGACAGTGCCGCAAATCGTCAGATTGACGTGAAACCCGTAACGGGACACAGGACAGGATGACAACTGCTGTTCCACCTGATTTATTGCTGTTTTGATGATGAATAAAAGACTTCTTGCTTGTTACACTGTGTCACCTCATTCAATATGTGTCCTAACATTTGTCATCTCTTAGTATATTTCTAATCTAGGCATCTTGTTTTTTAGGGCCCTTCTTGTTTTTTTTTCGCCCTCTCGCATTAGATTTAGGGTCTCCAAAGGACGTCATCCATAAAATTTACTTGGTGTGGCCTTAAGCAGTATCACAGGTTACATTTACCTAAACCATCGTAAATTTCACCATGAATCATGGTCGTAGGCCGCATTGTTGTGTTGCATCAGGCATGTCGCGCAGATGTGGTGTGAGATCTCCAAACTGTTCGTCCTTGTGTACCAGTTCAGACACTGGGTGTTAGATTGAAAGAGTTTGCAATACTTCAGTGTTTGTTGAAGCTGTGAGGAGGACTTGGCACTGCGCTTCGGTGCTGTGTTGCATAACAGGTAGGGTTGCACATGGAGCTTAAACATATGCTCCTGGTGTTCCCTGTAGTCTGGTTCACCCTAATCAAATTGCCCACACTCTACCGCTCGCATAACCTCGCCATGGTAATCTCTGATGTTCTCCCACGGGTATCTGAGTTTGTACTCAGAGCACTGTTGTACAGTACCAGTTTTAGCCGTTCTCACAACTCGTCGGCTTTCAACAGGTCGGAATTGAACAATCTCATGTAGCCAGCCATGAATTGGTCATAACTAAGCTTCTCATAGGTTAACTTGTCAGACTCGTCTGAGAAGGCAGGCAACACTTCCTGCGGCCAAAGTACATGTAGATGTCGTATTACTCTAGACGAAGTACGGGGCGGGCAGAAATATCCAGATGTGATCTTCTTACCTCTCGGGTTGGTGTTGGCGTCAGCGGCACCGGTCTGTAAAGGTAGGTTGAAGTTGCCTAGTATACGATTTATCTCTCCATCAGCAGATCATCGATAGTGGTGGTAGTAGTAACGTTAGTAGTAGTGTGTGGGGGGGACCCCAGAAAGTGCGAAATGGAACGAAATGGAACGAAATGAAACGAAATGGAACGAAATGGAACGAAATGGAACGAAATGAAACGAAATGGAACGAAATGAAACGAAATATGTATGTAGGAAAGCCGTTAAGCCGTTCGCATGTTGGAACGTTCCATTAGTGTCCGCTCGACGTCCAAACGGCAACGTTAAGATTGATGGTATTCTTAGAACCGTAACGTTATAAGATCGATCGGGGCACGTTAAGAATAAAGTGACCACAACGTTATATTATTATTATATTATATACTCAGTTCCCGCCAGGCATGCGTCCTTGCGTCTTTTGGACGCACTGTTTTAGGAAAAGACGCAGCTGAGTGCGTACAAAAAATTCAAAGGGTTAAATGATGTGTACTTCGATTCATCCCCGCCCCAGTAATCCAGGTCCAGCGAGGAGCTCAGTACACGTCATGGGGAGGGGCGCGGCACGCCTCAAATCCATTTTCACACCCATGAAATTAGCGGGCCATTGTGCGACCCTCACAGGCACGCGTACGGGCGGAGTCCAAGTTACAGCCCAACTATATACGTGTTGTATTTGTAGGGGGAAACTTTTCATGTTCGGCTCGTTTTCGCGGCAGGCCGTAGCCATTTCACAAGACGTCACCGCCGCAGCCAAAGTTAAGGCAAGTGCAGCGAAACACACAGCTTTGGAGAGTGTTGGCGATCAAGAAAGCAACGGTCAAGAAAGATTTGTGAAAAAACACAACATTACAAGATTGATTTAATCGGTAAGGGGGGCATTTAAATGTTGAGGGACTGCGTAGTTTTGTTGTTCTTTACGAAATAAAGACTCCGAACAGTTTGTCTGCCCGATTGACCGCCCATCGGAGAGCAACGATTATCGAGGTGGAGAAGTGAGCCTGTGCTGCTAAATTCAAAATTTGAGGCCAACCAAAACAACAACGAAGGGCTACTGGGACTATTCTGATCGGGAAAGAGCGATATGGTTTTAAAAAGAGTATTCGTAAACTACTGTTTATGTCACAAAATCAAAGGAATAAAAACTTCCCAGCATGGAAAGCTTCTCGTCGCTGGGACGGTTCCCACTTGTTGCCAAGACGACGGCACGTCCTGATCAGACAGAGCGGCGTCACGCCCTCAACAGCACAGGCATGGGCCCCGCCCACCGGGGGGGCGGCAAAAGATTTCAAAGCCCCAATCATTGTATCAAACCGTGCTGTGTTTCACTTCGTACCGCTGGCTGGTACAGTCCCGCTACAAAAATAATTTTCCTGCAGCATTTATTATGATTTAAAGAGATTTTTGATATGAAATGGAAAGATTTCTGTCAACTGAACCTTTGTAACGGCATGGATATAATCTTTGTTAAAGATTTCTGTGTTAACTAGAGCCGAAAGTGCATTACTGCACAACTGCCATGTTATATTCATGTTACGTTACGACGATCAAGAACGTTCACGGCTTTCAGACCATTTTTTTATATTACCAACCCTCTTACAATTGTGTTAATACTTACGGGGGTATGTATTTTCGGCCGGGGTTCCACTGAGATCGGCGGCTGGCTGGTGAACCATCCCGTCGGCATGACCGAGCACCGGGCGTCTTTGTGCTCGGGACGTGAGTGACCTACATTTTCTTACTGTGCGTCTCTTCTTTTACTGCGACGTCGTGTCAATATCGACGATAAACAGAAGAAATACGTCCATTTATCTAAGCTCAACTTTATTTCCACGCATCAACATTATTATCCAACATCATGACAACATGTTATGGACGAATCGATGTCGTTCCAAGCTCTCCTTGCCGGTATTCGCTATATTCGTCGGTCGTCCTCGGATTTGTCGGGGAAACCTCCGAGTACGCAACCAGACTTTGACAACGGCCTGAGACACTTTTGGGATTTTGACAAGTTTAAAAAGTTCCCCGATCGATCTTATAACGTTGGCGATCTTATAAACACACACGCATTTAATTTTTAGTACGATCTACTTTAGAGTACCCACGCGGAAGAATACCGGAATGAGACATTAATAACCATTGGTTATTAAGATTGTGTCTTAAATGAAAGAATAAACATCCCCTAACAATCTCTTAAAAAGATTTTGTCTCACGTCACTCCGTTACCAAGCAACGGGTCAATGAAGTTGCGTCAAAATTTTGGTATGAGCAGCGCCACCTGGCAGTTTGGAGAAAAAGTACAACATATATCTTTAATTACCCTTATGACGTGTCGGAAACAGTAATTAGTGTTTTTTTTCGTACCGTTGGGTAGATTAATGTGTTCTGTATGAGATTGTTTACATGTAAACCTTGGTAGACAGCAAGAGATAGATCTGAACGATGCTGATCATTTCGTGTATGCTGGCAAATGAGGCATAGCATCAGTAGCGACATTCAGGTGCATGTCGCATCAGGACAAGCCCATAAAGGCAAAGACATCGACATGACACAAACAACAGTAAAGCCAAACATATAAACTTGCTAAAATTTGAACCCGAGGTAAGAAGAAATAAGCGACATGCTGCTGATAGTGCATCTAGCGCACTCTAAAAGTCAGCCTAGGCGGGAATGGGGAGTGGTTTATAGAGGTGACACAAGATTCTGGCTTACAAAAATGCGAGGCAGCTTCAGTCAAGAGTACCCTTTTCTACTAGTTGAGAAGAATGAAGGCAAAAGAGGCCAAATTGACCGTAAACTATCACTCAGAAAAGGAAGGGGAATTCCAGACAGCGTTCTTAGCACAGAGCAAAGCAGAAACTTTTCCAATGAAAGTTACAGTAATGCTTTGGCATAATATATCCATTCTCACCTAAGTAGAAATCCACGAAATCTTTTATGATTTTGCAGTCTGGAAGTCTGGGGGATACAAATTCACCTCAGCTGTAACGTGTCGGGTGTTTTTCCGTTAGTTGGGGGGGGGGGCAGGG